CAGAATTTAGGTGGGTCCCATCGAAGGATGGAGCAGAACAACACTACACATGCCTATGCTGCCACAGACCTGTCTGCAGTGCAGGCATTTCTTCCACAGGTGTTTGACAGCACCTGATGCAGAGGTGTCTCATACCTGCAAAAGAGGAGGAACAGTTAGGGATTTGGCTGTACTGATTTAGCAGCTGGGGAACTAAGATGTTTTATACATCCATAATACACATTTGCATAAAGATACATGGAATCAGAACATCCTGAGCTGGAAGGATCATCACTCCAACTCCTGGCCCTCACAGGACACCTCAATAATCACACCTGAGAGCATTGGCCAAACATCTCTGGAGCTCTGTCAGGCTTGGGGCTGTGCCCAGTGTCCTGGGTAGCTGTTCAGTGCCCAAACACCTCTGGAGCTCTGTCAGGCTTGGGGCTGTCTGTGCTTCTGGAGCTCTGTCAGGCTTGGGGCTGTCCGTGCTCACTGTCCTGGGGAGCTGTTCAGTGCCTGACCAACCTGGAGGTGAAGAACCTTTCCCTGCTATATCATTTTCCAACAAGAAGAGCCTCAAAGAACATTGAGGCATTGTAAGCATTAAATACAATTGTTCCTTTTTACTTACAGCTTCTCTTGAAGGCCACTCCCAGTAACTCCCATGCCACGGGAGCACCAGTGATGCTCCACCACAGCCTGAAACGATTCAGGAACGCGGGGAGAGAACCAGGGCAGAGATTTGCTTTGTGAAGAGAACTGATGGTGGCATTAATCACTTCATTCCAACGATGGCATCAGGGGAGGCTGTGCCTCTGCAAAGTGCTGTAACAGCCACATCCGTGAGCTTCCCGAGCTTTATGGCACATTTTTATACAGCTGCTTTGCACTTGGCTCTTAGTTTTAATGTTTTCTGTTCATTAAATGACGAAGCTCATAAAACTGAACGACTGAGGCTGCTCCAGCAGCACAGCAATGGTCCTGAGGCAGTGCTGTAATTTAATAAGCATCTCTACTGACAGTTAAAATCCACACGATGATCAGAGCTGTAATTCTGAAGATGAGGTCTCCCGAAAGCTCAGTTTACTGTGGTGGGAAGTGGCAGCTGCTCCAGCTCAGCAAAATGAGCTCTTCCAGTGGAGATGCCAGGGAAAACAGATGCAGAGGAGACAGTGAGAGGAACAAAACCCACCACCAACGCTGCAGGTTCCTCTCCCATCGCCAGGAGAGTCAGGAGTGGATTCCATGGGTACTTCAGCAGCAAAAGGGAGGGAAAGGGGAATATGGATCAACAGAGACCAGGATAGGGGGGCAGAGTGACACAGCACAGGGACAGGGTTGAGCGTCTTGATGACTTCTCTGCCTTGGGCTTTGCTCTAGTTCCTGAGCTCTACAAATTCCAAGGTCTGGGCAGTCCCTGTCCTCCCATGGGGTGCTGCTGCCAGGCTTCCCTGCAGCTGCCCTGACCCCCTGAGCTGGGGGTGCCCACCCACTGCTAGGGACAGATCCCTCCTGAAGTGCCAGAGACAGCTCAATCCAACAGAGAGCTGCAAACCCCCACACTCCTCCACAGCTCCTGCTCTGCCAGCTGCCCCCAGCAGCCAGGGAGAGGATGTGGAGTCACTGCCACGGAGGTGTTGGTCCCATGGATGTCCTACAGCTCCCCAGGTGTCCCACCCTCCCTTGTGACCATCCAGCTGATAAAAACACCTACCCAAAGGCTGAGTAAGAGGATATTTTATCCACAGAGTATCCTGAGCTGGAAGGGACCCACAGGGATCACCTAGTCCAACTCCTGCCCTGCACAGACATCCCTGACAGTCACACCCTGTGCTGAGAGCATTGGCCAAACACCTCTGGAGCTCTCTCAGCCTTGGGTCTGTGACACTGCCCTGGGAGCTGTTCAGTGCCCAAACACCTCTGGGGGAAGCACCAGGCACAGGGGGTCTGGTCAGAATGCAGACGTGCTCCCAGGTGGCTGTTTCCAGCTGTTCAAGAGGAGGAACTACTGGCCCTGGTGCCCATCCACTGCCCCAGTGACTCAGCTTTGCTGCCCCCTCAGTGCAGCCGTTGTGTTCATTTTCCTTATCTCCTCATCAGTCCTGAATCCATAGTGAAACATGAAATCAAAGTAATGCCTAAAAAAGGACAAAACTCTTCTGACTTCATATACTGTCACAGATTTTGAGTGCTGTTGTTCCCTGAGGCAGTGAAAAAAGGCTGAGGAAAACAACGTATGAAAGAGCAGCAACAGACAGTAACTTTCCAAGAAGATATGCTACTTATCAAATGTGCTAATTAGGCTAGTAACTACTAAATTCTTCCCTTCTAATCTCCACTCCTCCCAGCTGTGATGGATTTACAAGCACCCTCTGGGTACAGCCGAGTGCTGGAGCCAGTGCTGGCAGCAGGAGCTGTGTGTGCAAACACAGCACCTAGGGCTCACGAGAACTGTTCACTGCTGCTTTCTCAGGGGTGTTTGGTGCCATCCCAGAACACCTCTGCTTAACCAGAGATCTCTAAGTGCAGGACTGGGGTTTGCCAGGCCCTCACAACACACCCTCACACTGAGCTCCAGGTCTGGGGGAGCAGAACAAACCCTAACACTTCTCATTCAGCACACTGCACTCCCTAACTGATCAGGTGATGCTCAGAGAGGACTTCCCAGCACAGTCACCACCCACTCAGCAGCGCGTTTCGGCCACCTATGCCAGGCAGTGCTTTGGGATGTGCATTGCAGCCTTCAGGAAGCACCAGGAGAGGTTTCCAGTCGGTTCACCAGAGGGTTTGGTCACAGCTGGCTCCAGCAGCTGCAGAAATCTTCCTCTGGAAGTGCAGGCTGTCCTGGCTGTGGATCTCCACTCCTCATGGCTGAGCAGCCTCCATCCTCATGCCCTTCCCTGGGGGTGAACCTCTTGCCACCCAAGGCACGACCAGGGAAGAAGAGTTGGTTTCATATCTGGCTGATGAACTGATCATCACAAGGGGTGAAAAACCTCAAACCAACAACAAACCAACCACCAGTGTCTGCCAACCAGAACCTTTTCCTGCTAGGATAAACTGGCACACATCCAGTGCCAGTTCAAAACAGAACAGATCATTGTGACAAGGGCTTTGATGCAGACGTTCTCAGCTGTTCTGCACACATCTCATCTGCTTAGGGCTTTCTTTTAGACTAAGAATATAACCCTAGTAGTGAGTCTTGTCTGTGACCACGAAGAGAATTAACAGGAGCTCCATGATTTCATATCGGGATACAGAACAAACTCCAGGAAATGGCAGGAAAAACAAGAAAAATAGTTAAACCAGGTCTTTGATGGTTTATGTTCAAAACTGCTGTGAAAAACCTAATCACCTGGTTTTATCTCAAAGCAAAGCCAAAAACTTGCTTAGTGCTTTGAGGTTTTGTGGTGAACATACACCTCTCAGACTTCTCCTCCAGGAGAAGGTGCCTGAGTGTCTGTGTGGTTTCAGCTACTCACGAGGAGCATGAAAACAAATCCTGGCTTTGCCAAAGGAGCCTGTGGAGAACCCAGTGAGAGGAACAGAGCCCAAGCTCTGCCAGAGACGCCATTAGGAGGAAGACTGGAGGCTCAACCCTTGCACCAGGCTGGTTCACCTCCAGCGACTCCTTTTCCACAGACAGGAGCCTTTCCCATCCTTGCTGCAGTGATGACTATCCAACATTTCCATGTTGCTGGCCTGAAGATCAGGGAGTGAGCCCCAGAGTCCTGGAGGAGTTCAGCGGGCACGGCCGGGCAGCCCTGGCAGAGGGAGCCGCTCCCAGCACTGCAGATTTGGTGCTGCTAAGCAAAACAGACACCAGAGTGGTGATACCCTGGGGACAGCTCTGGCAGGGCCAGCACTGGGCACCACAGCCCGGGCAGTGCTGAGGCAGCGGCGCCTGCCAGCACAGTCACACCGGAACCAAACCCCGCCGATCTCTCCTCTTCCCGGCGCCTCGCTCAGCCAGGAATCAAAGCAGTTCATGCACTTCTACAAGAGCAATAAAAAAAATTAAATATTTATTTTGAATAACAAGCTTCAGTTCAAGCTGCAGCGTTGGCAATGTGGGTTTAACACAGGTCACAGGGCGTGCAGAGAAACGGGGCCGAGCAGAGAACCAAGGAACGCTACGAATTATACTAAGCAGCTGCTGATCTTTAAAGAAACAAGAAAGTTGTAATCACTATACAAAGTATAAAATGTATTAAACACTACCATCCACAGAGCAGAGGCTTATTTTAGTCTGATTATATTTAAAAATTATCTGTGTCGTTATTTATAGGGTGAATCGTAAATGGATATCGTACAGGAACCTCCTTTTGGTCTGCAAACCTTTAGTTGCACTACAGCACATCCAATCGCGTCGCCAAACCCCAAACAAAACCAGACAGAGAATTATTTGTCCTTACTGTCAGCAAAGAAAGCAATCATTGATGATACAGCGAATACGGCCAGGCCTGCAGCGAGGTCAGGGTGCCTCCGACCCGGCGGCGCCGCCCGTGCCCGAGGCGCCGCCAGCAGTGGCCAGTGTCCTCATGGCAAGCCTGGACCTCACCAAGAGGAAAAGGAAACCAGGGGCTGAATGCAATCATGCAACTCTCACTACTGGGTCGCCACGTGTCGCGCGTCGGTTTATTGTCGTCCCTCAAGGCATCGAAACGAGGCTCGTGATGAACACGCGGAGACCGGAGGGACAGAACTGCTGCTCGACACTACTACCAGTAATGTCTGTGCTATGGGAAAGCACCTTTAAAAGAGCCTATGCGGCAAGAGATAAGTGTCTAAAGATTCAAAATGAATCAACAGTATTGGATAACAATATAATTCTCGACTCAGAAGCTGCCTCAAGATTAGGTGCATCTTCAGTTAATGTAACAGGAAAAAAAGGCAATGGATTTTATTTATTACTTGCATCCACCCACAGACTGACCTAAGGCCACCAGATGTGCAGACACGACGCGTTTCCTCCTCTTTGCACAGTCCTCCTCGCGGGCAGGGCCGCACTCCGAGCATTAGGAGGTGGCTCCGGGCGTGGGGTTGACGTTCTGGGTGGCCACCTGCGGCGCCACCTCGATGATCCGCGGCTTGTCGATGATCCTGGCTGTGCGGTTGCCTTTCTCCACGATGCCGATGATCCAGGCCTGGTGTCCCTCGCCGTACTTGGGGGACTTGATCTCTGCACAGAAGCGAGCGGCCTGCTCCCGCGGCAGGCAGATCAGGAGACCTCCTGGGGGCGAAGGGACAGCGTCAGACCTGGCTGTGCAACGCTCAGCCGCGGCCTGACAGAGCTCAGTGCTGGACTCCAGACAGACATCAGGGCTGGAGGAGACCTCTGAGATCATCGGTCCAACCAGCAACTGCCACTGCTGGAACCCCCAAACCCTAACCCAGATCCTCCAGTGCCACATCAGACACCTCTGAAACACCTCCAGGGATGGTGACTGCACCACCTCCCTGGGCAATATCCAGTGCTGAACACCACAACAGGGAAAACATTTCTCCTCACACCCAATCTGACTCTGCCCTGGCTCAGCTCAAGGCCATTCCCTCTCTCCTCTCCCTCAGCCCTGGCAGGACACACATCCCACACCTCTCTCCAGCCCTGGCAGGAGTTGCAGAGAGCCAGGAGGTCACCCCTGAGCCTCTTCTCCAGGCTGACCAACCCAACTCCCTCAGCCCTTGCCCATGTGCTCTGCCCTTTGCTGCCCTCGTTGCCCTTGGCTGGACTCGCTCAGTGCCTCAATGGCCTTTGGGCAGTGAGTGCCCAAAGCTGAGCACAACACTTCCTTTGGCCAAGTCCTTAAGGCTCTTCACGCTATTCTAGGCTGGTCTGTGGGACTGGCAGTGCCAGCTGCCCTGGTTTTGAGGGCTGAAGGGCTGGAGATACTTCTCTGGCTTATTTTCTGAGAGATGCAAGGGTTTTGATTTCGTTGGTAAGAGGGTTTGAGCACTGGTGGGTTAAGAACTGTATTGGAGCAGGAAGTGGGCACAGAGCCCCCCATGGCCTTGCCCCTTGCCAGGCACTGACACACCCTGCTCTTCCACCCACCCACCTCCTTCCACCAAACCTGCTGAGATACCTCTGCTACACCAAAAGAGCTGCCTGACTCCAGCCAACAGTTGCACAAGCTATTAGAGGACAGGCAAACATACACGTGTGCATGAATGTCCCATGCAGAGTAACTCTGGACTCATCTCTGCAAGTAGCCCCTGGAACAAACAGGATGAATCCCTTGGAAACCAACTGCCTGACTGCACCTCTAACCATCACCACAGAAAATTCCCTGAAAGGGAGCACAAACTCATGCCAAAGTGCCATTTTAAGAAAACACCCCATGAAGAGAGTGCCTGGAGGACGGAACAGGTGACAGGAGAGATCTTTCCAGCACTGACTTTTGTCAGCAGGCGCCCAGCAAATGCACTCGGGGAAAAAACCAACCCATATAATCTTAGAATCCATTCAAATAGTTTTCCAGCACGTTTCTCCCTGCCTGCCCACTCTGCTGAAAAACATCTGCTCACAGATAAGGAGCTACAAGACAGTTTCCGAAGCTCAAGCCAACGGAGAGGCAGAGGATCCGTACTACAGCACGACCAGCCCTGAGCAGCCCCCGCGGGGCATCTCACAGCTGGGTCAGGCTTGGCTTTAGAGACCAGCCTGGGACACGAGGTGTCAAACTCAGGAGCCAGCCCAGCACGCCCTGCCTGAGCCCACACACGGCCCAGACGTGTCAGGCTAGGCAGTGCCAGCCCAAAGCCTGTGTGACTGGAGCTACACAGCCCTCGAGCACTGCCAGTGTGGCCACTGCCTGCAGAGCTTCCCAGTGTCTGTCAGACTCTGCCCTCTGAGCCCTGAACCACCTCTCACTGAGAAATGCACGCCGTGATGAGACACTGAGGCGCTCACAGCCTGTGTTTGCTGGTTTTCCCAGCACCACCCAGCCCTGCTGAAACACAGGCTGTCAGCATTCCCGAGGCACCTCCTGCTCCCCCGTCCAAGGAGGCTCCGCAGTCGGCCGTTTCCCACTCCCCAGCAGTGCAGACACCTGCACCTCTGCACACTGCTGCAGTGGAACTGGGTGTCCCCAGGGGCAGGGTGGGCAGCTCTGCAGACTCAAGCACTCAGTTTGCAGCTAAGCCATTCCCACACCAACTGCTATCCGCACCGAAGGAGCACCTTGCAGTTCCACTCTGTGTCCATGCTGCTTCCTGGAGCCTTTCCAAAGGATAATAAATGCTACCAGCACTCTGGCTCTGTGAGCTCCTGGGTTGTAAGAATCTGGTGCTACCAGCCTTGCTGTAACAGCTCACCAAGCTGCCACTGGATATTTCTGGCCCCTTCTGACTGATGCTGGGCTTGAACTCCTGAAAGGTTCATGTCCCATATCCTGTGACACGTCACAGAGTTCCTGTGGGACAGTGTCTGCACCAGCACACGTGGCCACGGCACCGTTCGGCACACCAGGGCAAGCTGTGCATTCACTAAGGGAAAGTTTATGGCTCTCACTGTGATGCTCCTTTCCAGTCTCTGGGCTGTTTTGCTTCAAGGGGCCCCTCTGCTGTGAGCTGCAGAGAGCTTGGATAATACTTGTGGAGAGCAGGAGGAGGGTGGGGAAGTGAGACAAGAGGAGAAAAAAAAGACAGATTTGTTGCTGCATCTTCTCTATTGCCCAAAGAGAAAGGACAGTCTGATGAAATTAGACAAACCAAAATGGAACAGAAGATTCAAGGGCAAAGAGAAGTAGAAAGATTTCCAGCAGAAGAGTCACCATGCCCATCAGCAACGTGGCCTACCCTTGATACTTCCAAACATCACCAAGTTCTTACCCCTGATGCCTGTGTAAGTTTATCCACAGCCAGACTCTCCTGGGCCACTCAGCACTGAACTTCACACAATCAGCACTCACTGCACTGCCAAACCTGTGGCCAGTGGCTTTACCCTGCAGGAACTGCCAGCTGTGCTGGGAGTCTCAGACACTGCTCTGAGCCAACAGCGAGGAGAAAGTAGGGTTCAAAAGGATTCAGCACCATCACCAACTGCAAATCCTCACTCTCTGGGATTCCAGGGTTTCTGCAGCAGTGCTCCATAAGGAAGCAGAAGGCATTCGGAGTAGTGTGGTGGTTTGGAAGTTCCTCAGTGAGACCCTGTCCCAGGGTGCCCAGGGAGGCTGTGGCTGCCCCACCCCTGGCAGTGTTCACAGCCAGGTTGGATGAGCCTTGAGCAACCTGCTCTGGTGGGAGGTGTCCCTGCCCAGGGCAGGGCTTGGGGCTGGGTGAGCTCTAAGGTCCATTCCAACCCCTAAAATTCCCTGATTCCAGGCTTTAGAAGCCCATTGCAAACAGTTCTGTGGCTGAAGCTCACTACCTTGGCTATGTGCTGCAGCAGCTGTGACCCTGACTGCAAAGCACATGAAAACAAATACTCCTGGAGAGGGGCAGGGGAGGAAGAAGGTGGCAAAGCCATCACCTACCTGAAGTCTCCGGACAAGTCCCGTGCATGAGGCCAAACATGTTGCCACAAGCCTTGCTGACTGCAGCCATCTTTGCCAGGACAGGGAGGTTGTGGATGACGAAGGACACCTCGTTTCGCTGCTGCTTGGCAAGGTTCTGTGCATGGCCCAGGATCCCAAACCCGGTGATGTCTGTGGCTGCGTGTGCATTGAAAGTGTGCATGAGTCCAGCAGCTGTGAGGGGGAAAACAGCACATCAGAACCAACCTGGACGGCGAGGAAAAGCAGAACTGGGATTCCCCAGGGCTGCTCGCAGCACTGAGGGGTCAGCTTGTACTCGAGACTGAAACCTGCTGAAAACCTGCCATCCCAGTCACACTGCTGAGTGTGTTCTGCTAGACATGTGCTCATGTTGGCTCTCTGAAATGGGTTTGCTTCAGGCTCACACTGCCCAGAGCTGCGGGCCAGGGAGTTCCTGAGCTCAGCTTTGCTTCACCAAGGCAGGGACCAGACACAGGTCAGTGCTGTGACAGCTCCTCCCCTGGCGACCCCACAGCTGACACCCTGAAGAGCAAAGCTTGCAGGCTGTTGGGGAAGAGCCTCGGCCTCCCCACCTGCACATTCCTGAGCTTTTTCTGCTCCTGGTGGGAGAAGAGCACGTCTGTGTGCAGGACAATAGCATGGTTAGGAGTACTAGAGTGAGCTTTGCCCTTCTTTGGTGCTTCCCAGCACATGAGCAGCAGCAAGTTCTCCATAAGACAATCCTGGTCACCTATGTTTCCTGGAAAGCTTAGTGAAAGGATGAAAAACCAGTGTGATGACATAACAAACACCAAATGAAAACTGACTGAATGGGAGAAGAGATATATGACTATCCCAGTTCCTTCAGCTGAGAAGGAAGGAAACATCTCACTCAATTCTCTGCCCCTCCAAAGATGCTTTGGACAAAGAAGGAAAATCCTGGATTAAAACTTTGAGGGGAAAAAAAGCAGAACCTTCCCTCCACCAAAAGCAGAAGTAAAAACCAAACCAAAGCACAAACCCAGGACAAAGAGAAGAGAACACGTGTTACACATTCCACACGAAGCCTACATAAATCAAGAGCTTTTCCTTCTTTATTCCATCTCGGATTCCTTAAGCTTA